ATATATATATATATATATATATATATATATATATATATGTAAAGTTTATCCTATCGTATCTTATAGAAATTGTATTATGCAAAATACATTTATATAATATTTGACTCAACACTAGTACTGTACAAAGTCCATTTGGATTTCATACGGTACTTTGATATCTGATTATATTGATCATAGGTAGTAGTAGGCGAAGGTGGACGCCTGTTAATTCATTCCATTTTACGAACATTCCATTGCACTAAATTTCATTGCGCACCATCCTGAAAAAACATCAAAATTTGATTAACTCCAAAGCAACGTATCATCAAATTACAATTTGTGCAGCTAGTCATTAAAACTAATATAGTTGCATGCATTGCATAATAAATGAATTAAAACAAACATGTACATGATAATAATAATGTACCGCAAACATTACGGTACATTATAATAATCTGGCACCTCCTCCTTAAATTTAAGCCTGTGGGTGCCATATTCGGCCAACTGGACGTGCCACTTTCTTACCTCAGACTCAGCCATGGTTTGGCTGAGGTGGTCCGGAACCCGGACAAAAAGTCGTGAGTTGCTACATTTTTTGAACGCTGCGTTCACATCGCGCACGGAACATGGTTGTTCGGGTAAGTACGTATGCGTTCGATTGGTTCGAACCAACCAAGCTTGTTGCTGATTGGTCCAAGAAAAAAAAAACGTACGATTTCAGGATACAAATGGCTCTCAAATCCATCGGTCCGGATCCGGAGTCTGGATTAGAAATCCTACGAATTTGATGTGAACGGTCCTATTCTTTACCACTGAACTCATTTTTCACGATTTTTTCTCCGGACAGGAATCCGGGTTTGATGTGAACGTAGCTTTACACCCCTCCTGTCAATCTCTCCCTCCCTAGTCCCCTCTATTTCGAATTCTTGGATCAGCCACTGAAGCTTTAACCTAAAAGGTGGATTAGAGTACAGTATAGACAAATAATTATGAAATTATACTCCCACAACAGTAAAGTATGTCAAAAGAAACATACTGAAAGACAAAATATATTGCTGTATTAAATGAAACAGTTAGAATAGGAGCTAAAGATAAACAGGCAGTGATGACATGGCTACAAGGTTACATAAACGAAAAGAATTACATTGAAGTGAAAAATGATTGGAATTTAAGTACTGAAAGAAGGATGTTGACTCTTCTGGCATTAAAGTGGAATAAAAACATGATATCACCAAGGCACAAATTACAGAGTGTCCTAATAATTACAGGAGTGTAAGCATTATGGGATATTTGGACCTCCTCATATATTTTTGGCAAGTCTATAACCGTAGACTTGCCACTGGGCGCTCGCTACGCTCCAATGTGTCTCAATTCAGTTTTCGTACCGAACGATTCCATAAATCAACCATTCCATATATAATTAACTTGTTCAACTCAAATGTAATTAATGATACATAATTGCAAACTTGGTGTGGTTCCAACTTAATTGATGTTGGGTTGTTTTCTGATCATTTGAATTGTTATTAATTTTCTTTTGTGTTTCTGTGTCCTATTGTATTGTTTTACCGATGTAAATTTTGATGCAATTCACCCTGTGCTGCAAAATCAAAATGTTTTAATAATAAACCAGAATAAATAAATTTAAAAAAAAATATTTTACTTTGATATTATGAATATTCAAGCTACTTATTACTACATCTATGCAGTAGTGATTATCCATAATCTAAATATACTAGTTACAATAATAATTCTACAAAAAACAAAATAAGTACACAAATAAGTAAACGGTACTAATCGATGGTTACTATGATTGCAACACTGCATCACCTAAAAAGTCATAGTCCTACAATAAAAAGAAATAAAAGTGTTTATTTACCTGATATTCATGACAATTTTTATTATAAATTATTGCATAATTTGAGAATTAGAGATTTATGCCAATAAAAGTTTAGAATCCCTTCTCCTGTATTGGATATACAGTACTGTAGTATTTATAGAATCGCTCTCTCTAAATGCAAAAAGGAATTCAGTCTAAAATGGAGGTGCTTGCAGACATCACTTCAATATATTCTTAAAATAGTGAAAAATTAGTTCACTTTGAATAGAGTGAAATTATACTCATCTTTCACTCTGTAGGTACTCTTTCACTCTTGCATTTAGAGGGTTAGAGAATTGGTCTTTTAGTTGTAGAATCATTGAAATGAGTCAATCACATGTAAATTGATTGGGTACTTCTAATCCACTGTCTACAGATAGGACACATTCTACTTCGTAGATTAGCGTAACACATTTGGCGCAGCAATGTCCGCATGGCATGAAGACAAGACACCGTTCATCTTCTCCACAAATAACACATAGCTTTGAATCTTCCGCTTGCTGTTTCAACTCATCAATCTCATGTAATCTTTCCTTTAGACTAGCCTGCTCATCCATTAACCTTTTTGAATATTCATTTTCTCTTTGCTGGGCAGCTTTCTTATCCATCTCTAAATTGTAGACAAACTCTTCGGCTTTTTGTCGTTTAATGGTCGTAAGCTGCGAATACAAACTTTCATTTTCTCCAGTCAGAGATTCGTTTTCTTCAGTCTGACATTTAACCGTTTCCTCCAGCGAAGCATTTTCTTTTCGTAATCTATCAAGATCCTGTAATTCCACACGGGCAATTTGTGATATCTTTCTGCATCAATTGTATGCAAAGTTTGTGAATCTTTATCTCATTCTCAAGAGTTTGGTAATTTTCTAGTTTCCACCACAAGTATTTGATGTATAGATAGGGAAATATGACTATTGCCAACAAGAGACAATCTGCAATTACAAAAACTGCCATGTTACCTGCATACAGTAGGAAAGCATAAGCTAGAACTGGTTTTCGATGTCTGCATGTACCAAACCTGCAAATTTTAAAAAAATTGTATAGAATTATTTATTAGCCTACAAAGTTCCAGAAACACACAAGACTGCCTATGCACACCGTTATGCGAGGCATACGGTATAAAGTCTACAAATTACTACAACTAGTGATAAAACAGACTAGGGCAATATGTTACTGTACTTCGCATTATTGCTACTATGTAGTATCTAACACTACTGTACTATCTAGGCCTACAGTACTACTGACCAGGCCATTGACTAGGTCGTCGGATCAAAAATAACATCTTTCCAGCGGCGTAGCTTAGGTGTACCCACTCTACGACGTGCATGCACTATCTGCAAGTTCTCCATACAAAATCCATCGCTGAGCCCTTTTTTTAGATCAAAATAGTACATGATTATAGTAAATTGTAATACTTTATTTCGGACTGAAAATATGCAGTTTAATAATAATAATAATAATAATAATAATAATAATAATAATAATAATAATAATAATAATAATAATAAACAAACATTTGTTATGCGCCAGTTTCGAAATAAATGATCAAAGGCCCGAAAGTATACATTGAGCATGGATTGAATAAAGTAATGGACTAATAAACTTATAGCAAAGAATACGGTAATAGTAGAGATCAGTGTGTGCCACTGGAATGTGCGTAGGCCAGGGAGCGTGCGTCCGTGCGTGCTTCTTAAACACGCGTTTTTCTTCCCTAGTGATAGATTCGTGTTGTTATGTTCAGATGGCAACCACGTCACGAACGTATTCGAAGAAAAACAAAGTTACAAGAATAATGTTTTCTTAAGTCACGTCACGACAGTGTTGGCATCACAAACCTGGCATTTTAAAAGTATAGAAACGCCCCAAGTACCTTCCCAGCAAGAGATGGACATCGAAAATATTCACATAGAGGCTGAAGTTTGTAGTTCTGAAAGCGGCAACAGGATACTTCAAGTTGACAGAAAAGTGATATCATCACATGAAGGTGCTTCATCATCCGCGTTGTACAAAATGTTTGATGATGATGATGAGACGGAGGATTATTTTGAGCCAATCCCACAATGGGAATGCTTACCACATTTCATCATCACTGACATTGCAAATTACCTCAGCGACGTGCATCGGATCAGCATGGCTCTGGTATGCCGCAGCTGGTTTGTCTGTGTGATGAAAGCTCCACGAATTTGGAGAGACAAGACCATCACTCTGACAGGCGAAAAATACGATCAGAATCATCTTCGTTACGTCCGCTCTGTTGGACGGTATCTCCATTCTTTCCATGTATTCTCCCACATACGATCTTATTACAACCGGTATCAAGTTCGACGGTTTCAACGCATCTTGACAACAATTTTGGCAGAGCTCTATCGTAAGGGACCAGTTCAACTGAAAGAAGTGTCTTTTGTCGATTTTTTTATCCACGTGAGTAAGCCTAAACCTATATTATTTTTTACAGAGCGTGTAAGGCATAACGCATGGCGCTCTACAAATAATACTAGAGCGTAAGTACTTACCTATAAGTGCTAGTCCTAGGCCTAGACCTTAAATAGTCAGGCCAGTATATTCTCCAAGCCTGTTAACTATCACTTTATTTTTTACAGTTTTTTCCAATTACACATGTTCACGCATTGTACAATTAATGAGCTTATTTGAATAATATTGCGGAACTAACTCAACCTAGGGTCAATAGCAACTAGGCCTAGGCCCCAGTTCCATAAAGAAGAATAATACAGATGAAAATAAACCCATAAAAAAGCAAACGGCCACATAATGCAAAACTATTTAAAATTAAAACGGAACAGTAGAGAAAATCCGATCAGAATGACAAAATAAACTAAGTATCCACTGGAAGGAATCCCAATATCTGCAGACGGATTGCATCTTTAGATCTCCGATCTTGTTCACAAATTC